GAAAACAATCATTGGCAAGTCCCACACACACGAAAAAATAATGCTAATAAACCCAAAAAAATATAATGAAATAAACATTTACCAGAGTAGCAGAAATGGGTGTAGTTTCCGTCAAAGGCACAAGTCACACGTGAGAGCCTCATCCCCTCTCCGATATAAGATGTGCCGCCCTATCACTCAGGGAGGATGCTACTATCATTACAAAAAAAATACTTAAAAAAACATCGGATTTTTAAATTTCAGGAGGTTCCCTTTTTTTGGAAATTGTTCTCAAGGCGCCCCCTCGCCCCACTTCCCTCTCTCCCCTTCTCTCTCTAGGCCTTGGGGACTTGACCTCTTGAGATCGCTGAAATTGGTGAAGATTTGACCCTAAAGCCCCTTCAGTGCTTCGTAAGAACTCTCGGAGATTATGTCAGGTTTCTTTTTCGAAAGTAGACATTTTTAACCCTTTCGGACGAAGAAGCTTTGTAAGATATCCAACCTCGTGTAATTCAAACAATTTTCAATCTTTGACGGTACTTCCTACCGATGTAAGCTTGGCATTTTCTTTTCTTTTTCTCCGATTTTGGATAGAAAACTTGATATTAGTGAGTGGGAAAAATACCTCTGCTTGGTTTATCAATAACATGCTCTAGAAACTAGCCTATCGTAAAAAATAAACCCAAGTATATAATCTCTCAGTGTTCTTACGCTGACAAGGCATAACCCCTAAGCCCATCTTGTGCACACTGTCCGAGCACGGGATGCTTAAGGAGGGCCACTGACGCAGGCAGCTGGAATGGACGCCGTAAGGAATCGAGTAAGACTAGCAGAAGCTTTGAATCTACAGTAAAGAGGAAAACAGACCAGTAGTGAAATTAAAATACAAGTGAAAAAAAATATGAAATAATAACAATAATAATAATGTTCAAGTATTTAGCTTGTCAGACTTAAATGATATTTAAAGTACACATAATTAAAACTGCCCATTCATCACTTAACCTGCATAGACAATTCAGGAGGTATCAGCTACCGAGGTGTACGAAATATAAAAAAAAAGACACGTTTTGTGTTCATATCACAACCTTTCACCCTTTTGCCTTTGCATCGTTTATAGCCATATTTCCTAAGTGATGATGTTGGATTGTCTAAACATATCGTTCATTCAAAATATGAAGCCTTGTCCTTTGTGTGAATCATCCTCACTTATTACATTTTGAAGTTTGTGTCCTCTTTCATCATTCTTCTTTGTGCTGCTTCTTCTTCAGTCATAACTTCAGCCAGACATCTACAGTGTAAATAATAATGGTTTAAGTAAGTGGATGACTGTACCCGGTGCTAAATTTCCTTTACAGTCAAGGAAGAGGAAATAAATACAAAAAATATGATGAGTAAAAAAAAAAAAAAAATTGCAAAAAAATATGAGGTTTAGGTCACTTGTGTCCCATGTTATCTGCAGGTACTGTAGTGCAAGACAGAAATTCAGCCTAGGTCATCCAAGCGAAATGTTAGATCAGGTCAGGCAAATTTGTAGAGCAAATCATAGAAAACTTGTATGTATAGCTAGGAATGGAGAAAAACAAACAAACACAAGAAACGGACGAAAAACACATGCTAAAGAGAAGATGGAAGCCAAGGAGATCGGTTGTTCCAATGGTGTTGTGTATTCATTGCTGGATAAGGGTGAGACTCGGGCAAGACAGGCACTTGAGGTTTTAAATGATTTTCTTAAATTATAACTGACTACCTCCCTCTGTATTGTACATGTAAGACAGTAGAAACTACAGCTAGTTATCTTCACTTGCCAAGCTCATACTAGTGTACAGGTGACAAGAAAAATATTGATAACACGAAATAAAATAGACCATTAGAAAACCAATGTAAAACATCCACAAATCTTCCTCCACTCTGCTTCAGCCAAATTGAGGAAAAAAACTGTGAACTATCATCACAGACATGCTAGAAAAGTTCATGAGAAAAGTCAAATAGGAAGAAAGATTATGGAGAAGGACTGCATAGGACCTAGGCAAATATCGCAAACATCTCCCCGACTAGTTTGTAGGTGATGGTTATCATGCCTATGAATAAGAGTCTAGTTTAGAGAGATAGAATACCAAGTGAGTAATTACCCAAATTGATCAGCATTATGATAATTTAAATAGGATGATGAAATTTGTGACAGTTCGCCTCTCCAAGATCTGATAAAGTGCATTGCTTCATTATAATTGAAGAAATGCAGTCATGTTTTTATATGTTTCTTTCTAAAGGCCTGTATATATTCTGTAAATAATTGACTGATTGTTTGTTTTACATTAAGCCTGTTTATTGTTGACGGTTTGAGAATCTTAGATAATTATTTTCTCTTGTTGCTGCATGAGAACTTTGAACAACTCTTAACCCATCAGGTTTTGTAGGTGTGGCCTCTTCCTCGTACTGCTTGTGATTGGCTTACTGGGAGAGGGCCCCACCAATCAGAACTTAGAGTGGGCTGCCCGTCCCAAGGTGTCCAAATGCAGTCTCAAGTTTCCTAATCAACTCTCCCCTTCTTGAGCACTATGAAGTAGGCACCAACAAGAGGGGCGGGCAACCCAACCATTTGCTTCATACTTTATCTAGGAAGAACCTCTAGAGCATTATTTGCTTGCTAGATTACAAAAAATATTGGAATAAATGACCACTAAACATTTCAGACGGCCGTAGTTCCTCAAAATGCTGTAACCTCTTCAGCTATTTATGACTCAGCTTAATCTAGAGAGACAATGTAGTTGATCCAAGACTGGGGTAGTTCACTGTGGAGTGATCAGCTATTTTGATCCTCAGATGGTATTTCAATAAGGCTAATTTTCTGTGTTGTGAATATGAAAATCAGCTTTATAGGAGTGCCATGCAAGGCTCAAAGTCGCTGCTCAGGTCACAAATCTTGTTGGTAGATTCTTCTGTTGCATCATACATCAAACCAGTTTTTGGTACTTTGTCTTGATATGTGACGAGATCAGTCATTATGAGCCTTAAGTGGGATCTCCAATGGGGTTCATTTTCCTAAACGACAACACACAAGAAGGTGATCCTTTTGTGAAAGCGCCGCCTGATGCTCCATAACGCAGGTCGCGTCACTAAAGTGCAGCGGTAAAACTTCTTCACTTGAGTCTTTCTCTCCATTGTCTCTTTACATAATAAGGTGCCATGTACTCCCAAGTTTATCTTACTGGCTCCCTCTTCCCCCCCCCTCTTTATTATATTGTATCTATGTTACTTTGCTTCAAACAGTTTTCTTTGTCCACTCAAGGAAAGAAAATATTGTTAGCAAACTGCAGCTACCAATGACTATGCCAACTCTTTCCATTCTTTTCAGAATTATTCGTAGTGGTATAGGGTTTCAAATTATTGAGACTTTCTCCATTTAACTTTATGATGACTGCCTGTTAATGTATATAATACAAATAAAAGTTGTTGGTTAAATAATGTAACAACAATTCATCGTCATCCATTCCAAATCAAAATGAAGGCAGATGAGCTGTAATTAAGAGATACTAGGCAACTTAATTCCAGGTATTATTGATTAGGCTCTCCCTTTCCATATTTACCCCTCCTACCCCTCAATTACCTGAGGGATGGGAGAGAGACAGCGGCAACCCACACACATAACCTGGGGCACGAGTTTCACATTGTAGTCAAGAGAAGCTCATCCTCACAAGAAAATGGAGGGGGTTCCTTGCGCTGCCTGTCTGTCTCCCAGCTCTCGTATCTGCTTCAGAATCGGAGACATCAATGGGTTCCCAGAGTCGCAAAAAAAGAAAAAAGAAAAAAAGTTTCCAGGGGAAGACAGGAAGCAAACGTGGCACCACTTTGGTTCCGATGCTTCCTGCTTTCTCCTCCTAATGATTGTGTACCAACCATTGCATGTCTCTGTATTAATATGGTAAATAAGAGAACCTCACCTGTTATGGATATTTAATTTTAGCATGTTTCTTTATATGGAATCACCTCTTTATAATAGCATATATAAGGAATTGAGGTATTTAAATTCATTAAAAAATAAATAACAATAATTATTATAATAATAATAATAATAAACTTAAACCTCATTAAACATTTAGGTCAAACATTCTGCTAAAAAATCACCTGGGAACTGATCATTTATTAAATCAAGTCGATACTTATAGGGTATTTACTGAAATTTGTTCCATTTTGTTTATTTTCTTGGGGCACATTACTGGACCATTGTGCTTCAATTGCTTTCATGTTTGTATCCACTAGAGCATGAGGGCCGCGTGCAACTTTTCTTGCTGCTGCAACATCCATCAAGGCTGAATTTCTGGCATTTTTTTTATTCTTTATTTATTTATCATTATTTATTTTTTTGTCTCTCAAAGCGTAGAATATCAACCTTAATTCAGGATCGCGGCTTGAACGGCGCTGGCCCTAACGCTTTATCAATAATCAGTGGCATATTCAGGTGTTTGAGGATAATTATTTTGGATGGCTTCTAAGCAATCTATTAGTTGTAATCATAAAGACACAAGTTAATAAACATGTAGATTGACTAATTATTTATGGGAGGGAACTTAAATATTAACTAAAAGAATGATTAAATTGCAGGCAAAATTGACCATAATAAAAATAAAAAAAGAAACCCTAAAATGGTTTTCAAATTTCCACTGATCTACTTCAAATTCCATGTAATAATATGCCAGGATTTGCCACTCGAGAGATAAAGACAACACAAACAGTAAATATAATAAAAAAAATATGAATTAATACGAATATCTTAAGCGCATCCCATTCAGCCATTTCAGCCATTAAACCTGTGCCTTCTATCCAAAGCTTCCACGGAGCGATTCAGCGGCCGAGCTCTCAGACAGCACCCGAGAGAAAGCAAAATGTTCAGCAATCAGTCATCGCGATTCTTTCTTCACACTGTAATATCCAAATCAGCTTACAGATCTTGACCGCTCAAGCCCTTTTGCCATCTCTTGGGTGGTGTCTGAGGGATTCTGGCCGCGAGCCTTGTTCAACATGTCCATGAACACATTTTTAGCCTTCAGGAATCTACAGCTTATTAAACAATATGCATGCAAAAAGTAAAAAAAGTTAACAAAATATTTTAGAAAATACCCCCCCTCAAAAAAAAACTTAAAAAAAATAAAAAGAAAAGAAAAAGAACAAAAAAAATAAATAATAATAATAATCAAATACATCAAAGGAGCCTCTATATGGGCCAAGACTTTCTCTTTGGACATGTTGAACCTGGCCCTGACTTTCGTCAACGTTCCACTAACCCTGTGTGATGGGAGAGCAGAGCTGCAACTCTATAGGTGACGAGGTATGCGAGAGTACAAGCCTGGGTTGCTGTGTCAGGTACTTGCATTGCCTGCGACTGGGGTGAATGCCCGTGCCTGACGCGCCCCCCGGGCTTCAACATCATTCATCCCCGTCACATCATTTGTTTTGCTAGATTAAATATGGCTGTTAAGTCTATGTTTACAGTCTTTGCCTTCAGGTTATAAGATTTTCAGGTGACGTTCTCTGTATTGAAGAAAAGTACTAGGTATTTAACATTTCTTCCTTGCTATTAAGGTCCATTGTTGTATAAGATTATGAAAAGATTTGGACCTTGGTAGCTGCAGGATGGACTGGATTCATTGAATCCCCTCATTATTTTGATCTTGTATCAAAGTGTGTGCTTTTTCATGCCAATAAACTAAGAAACCAGTTAAGATTTTGTTTATCTAAACATCCTGGATGATAAAACAAAAAACAACAAAAGTTGAAGATACAATTCAATCCTTTATTATATCCATGTGTGATTTAGACAACTTTACAGGTTGAAAGAATCGGTATAAATTTCTTTGTCTAGTGTCAAAAAGAGACAGAATAGGAAGCAAGGATAATTTTATACAAAAATGACTACTTGGCTTCTATATTTCAAAAAACATCCAAAATTAGTTATTTTTGCTCTAGGGAACACCAAGCTAAGCAATTATACATATATATACACTTTCCTTTATGATCAGAAAGATGATGTGGTCATATTTGTTCCTTAAATGTATGAAAGCAGATATAAAGAGATCATTTATGTAATTAATATTTCTATTACTATTCTATAATAAAAATGAATCTTACCTCCTAACAGAGAAAAGAGAACAATCAAGTATCAAATATGACAGTAAAACAGATGCATGACTAAGATAATAGTCACCTGTAATTCAAATTTTAAAAAGAAAGAAAGAAAAAGAAAAAGAAAAACAACATTCTCCTCATCTTCCTATGTGAGTTTATAAATCACCCATTCATGAACATACACACATACTGCCACTCTTTACAAGTAATAAAACAGAGTATTGAAGAAGAGATACTGTAAAATACAAGCTATATACACATCCGAACCATTCTCTACTTATTTCTTTTTTGATGAAATATTCTGTTAAACTCTCTACTTTAAGCTAAAAGTATAAATAAAATGCTCCCATAACCTTAGCAGAAAGTTGTTATTGAATTATTTAAAAAGTTTCTTGGCTCTTCTATGAAAAAATATATAAAGTAATCATTCACAATCTGTTAAATCTACAGAAACAATGAATTTCTTAACATCTAGTGAAAGCTAACAACATTTGCACTGCAAGTGGTTGCATTGCCACCATACCTACTAAGATTAAACAAAGTATGTATAGAAGCATTTACTATAAACGGTGGAGAAACACTACACATGTAGAGTAAAAAAAAAGAAGAAAAGATAGGGGGGGGGAGAGACAGAAGTAAAGGTAAAAATAATGAAGGATTTTAAAGGCATCGCTCATAAACGAACCAAATTACCTTTCTCCCAACTTCAATCAGACTGTGTTCATAATTAAGACCAACAACAGTGATAACCCAAACAATACAAGCTTCACCAACATACATGGCCTTATTTCCTGATCTGTTTTGTTGCTGTTCCAATGTGGCACTGGTTGACCTTGGTTGCGAAGCGGAGGGAGTTCAAGGTCTCGCCGAAGCACATTTCCAAGGGGGACACATTGACGAACATGAGTGTCTTGGAATTGCCGCCGAGAGAGTTTTGTAGAAGGTGGGTCAGTTTGGAGTTGCGATACGGGATGTGACTTTGCTGTAAGTGGAGAAAAGGTTATTAGAATATACAAAGAATATTCATTGCCGTAAACATGGTCATATTAATACTTCTATACCTATTACACGCACAAACTGAATTCCTCCCTGCCCTGAGAAGGCAATACTTTTTTATTGGTTTTGTGTTTTTTTTTTTAAATAGTAAAGTCAAGGTTAATTTTAAAGACTAGAAGGACAGATTAATGTATGGAGAACACACAAAAGATATTAATATTTCACAAATAATTTTACTGTTCCTTTGTAAGTAAGAACAAGTTTTTAATTTTTATGGTGTCAAGGGTGAGCTTTAAAATAGTTCTAATGTGATAACGGTACAATAGCTAACAAATTTCTATGACCATTATCAATTTTACATCATCAGCTCCCAAAAATATTTTAGGATATGGGCAAAAGGTGCTCTAGAAATGGCTTTCCTCATTCCACAGATAGAGTGCCAAGGCTTTATCTGAAAGGCGATATGATCCCTATATTTTGCATGCCTTTTTATGTATCAAAATTTAATAATAATAATAATTGTAATTAATAACAACATAATAATAATAATAATATAATAAATAATAATATAATAATAATAATAAGAAGAAGAAATATATATATTGCCATTCCATTACCTTTTCCCAATTCAAGGTGAAATTCCTTACCTTCTGACCCAGAGCCATAATCACATTGCCAAGATTGGACAGAGATCTGTTGATGTTCTGTGTTTCTGTTAGTCTTGCTCCTTCTGAGCCTGACTCCTTCAGTCTCTCTGATCCAGCCAGGTCAACCAGATTCAAGTTACCTGTGAAAAATTATTGCAACATATCAGATATAAAGCAATCTAAGAAAATAACATTCTGGTACTAGGTTGGTTCTGGTACACCCTGATTACCCAATATGCCAAGTACATTATTCATGATCTAAAACACATACATACCCTATACAAAGCTAGCAGGTTGGTACTAGTATACTTTTTGGTACTAAAGCTACATATAATGACAAAAGGAGATTATGGGAATATAGTACAGAGATTCAAGGCCTCAAGAAATATACAACCAGCTTAAACAAACTATCACTGTGGTCTGCAAACAATATTTACCCCACTCACTCCCACAAAATGACCCAGTTCCACAGATCAATGATCCATATTCTTCTGTTCCCCAGTTGTAAATATCACGTACCTTCACAAGACTCCATTGTTTTACTATTGTGTCCTGTAAGTTTGAGTCGGAAGACGGAGTGTGAACGGGAAGATCTCTCATTCATGTTGGTGGCAGCTACAGCTCTCTGCTGCTGCGCTAGAGTCAAAAGGTGATGAACACGGCCTTCGTTCTCTACTTCAACCACCTGAAAAAAAACAAGGCCATGAATGGTGAATACTAACTGACAAAAGCTGTTAGTAATAATGATCTAAAAAGCTCAAATGAGTAAATAAATGGATCATTTGAACTACAGCTAAAACTGCAACTATCCCAGGCCCCTCTGAGTCACTGATATAATTCAGTTAGGTCAACTATAGTTCAGCAAACTACAACTATATCAGAAAAGATATCAACAAAATGTACTTCAGTTGGCATGTCTGTGTTGGGAGATTCAAAACAACATTCACAAGCGGTAGACAAAAATCAATAAAAATAATGCTATGTATTAACCACCTGTGCACTGAGAAAGTACTCAAACAGGATGATAAAAGCATTAAATTATTATATATATACATATGTACTGAAAAAAAATTAAAAAACAAAAACAAAAATTTACACTGCTGAACTGTATGTCAAGTACGTTCTCATACAACTGGAATAAATTGAGTTGTATGAATAGAGGCAAAGTTGTATGTTTAAAACAACTTATCTAGATCGGTTTCACAAATAAGGTCAATGGATCTGAACTTAAATGAACACCACCAGCACTCCAGGAACTGAATGGTTATTAGATTCTGTGCGAGATCAGTACCTTGGTAACTGATACACATATAAGGTCACCAGCTATTCTGCATACTGAAGTACCAACACAAAGACAATCACGATACAATATGCCATTTGTAAGTCAGTTGTGGATCAACATGATTTAGCTATTCAACATTTACACAATGTAGAGTGGGAGCAGCTGGTATTCAACTAAAGGAGTGGGTTAACGGTAGATCAGTCACTCGTGGGAAGCCATGTTCATCATGAGTGCAACTAAGGAACTTCTCCATGAAATCTCTCCCAAGATGTGATATCAACGCCCTCGCAGTGTCTAAAGTACACCCCCTAATTATGAAAATAAAACAACTATTCTTTCAAACCATACCACCATCCCCCCCAATCAAAATAATCTTATGAGAGCTCCTACCTTCAGATTGGTGACATAGGTATCATTCTTCTTGCTGTCAACAAGCTTCACGTCGTAGGTAAGATTCTTGGCTTCCTTGGACGTGGCCAGAAGATCTCTTATGGTTTCATTGTAGATTTCCAAAAAGCTTGCCTCTACCTTGTAAGTCCAGCCCTGTAAGGGAAAAGAATCTATAAGTATCTAAAAAGGCAAAGTGATCTACAGAGGAAACACTGTAATACATCTGAAGCTGAGGTAAAGCCATTATCAAAGTAACGCAACAACAACTACAATCTCACACAAATATTCACACATTTCTCCAGATATGTATATATATATCTCTTTCTCATTCACATCACCACAAAATGCACCAAACCTTTCAGTTTTAAGAAAACACCTGAACTTCCCTCCCATTTGAACAATTGCTCCCAACCAAGAGCAGACGAATGTCAAATCATTCAAAACAATGACTTCTCAAATTGCTGTACTTGAGCAATAGAAATGATTCAAGGTTACATTCCCGACACATCTGGAGGGAAAGGAGGAGGACGAGGAAGGGCAAGGAGGAGGAGAGGGAGGAGTAAAGGTGCTGGAGGTGGAGGTGATGGGAGTAGGAAGGGGGGGGGGGGGATAAAAGAGTAAAAGGTGGTGGAGGGAAGTGGGAGGAGGAGGGGGGGGGAGGGGAGGAGGTGAGGAGGAGGAAGTGAGAAGGAGGAGGAGGAGGAGGAGGAGGTGAGGAGGAGTGAGGAGGAGGAGGAGGAGGAGGAGGAGGAGGAGGAGGAGAGTGAGAGGAGGTGAGAGGAGAAGGAGGAGAGGGAGGAGAGGGAGGGAGGGGAGGGAGGAGGAGGAGTTGAGGAGGAGGAGGAGAGGTGAAGGAGGAGGAGGAGGAAAAAGAGAGGAATGAGGAGGAGGAGGAGGAGGAGGAGGAGGAATAGGAAGAAGAAAGGCAAGAGTAGGAGGAGAAAGGGGGGGGGAAGGTGGAGTAAAAGGTGGTGGAGGGAAGTGGAAGGAGGCAGAGGGAGGAAGGGAAAGGAGGAGGAAGAGGAGAGGTGAGAGGTGGGAGGAGGAGGAGGAAGTGAGAAGGAGCAGGTGAGGAGGAGGAGGAGAGGAGGAGGAGGAGGAGGAGGAGGAGGAAGGAGAGGAGGAGGTGAGGAGAAGGAAGGAGGTGAGAAGGTGAGGAGGAGGAGGAGGAAGTGAGAAGGAGCAGGTGATGAGGAGGAGAGAAAAAAGAAGGAAGAGGAAAGAGGGAAGGAGGGGAGGAGGAGGAGCAGAGCAGGAGCAGGAGCAGGAGGGGGAGAAGGGGAGGAGGAGGAGGAGGAGAGAAAGGAGAAGAGGAAGAGGAAGAGGAGGAAAGAATAAGCATAAGAGAGAGTTGTTGACAAATTCATTACAAGAGATAACAACAACAGTTGAGTGAGAAAGTACAAAAAGCAAGAATAACTCCCAAACCTTGTCTTCGAGATCCTTCAAGGTCTTGAAAATGTGCTTGACGGTGCGCGGGATCATCCCCTCCAGCGACTCGTCCCCGTGCATTCCCTCCATTGTGAAGGTCTTTCCAGAACCGGTCTGTCCGTAGGCAAAGACGCAGACATTGTAGCCATCCAGGGCCGACTGAGCCAGCTGTGAAATCTCCTCAAACACTTCAGCCTGAGTGCTGGTTGGGTTGAAGACTCGGTCGTAAGAGAACTCGATAGCTCCTCCTCCCCGCCCTTTGAGGCCCGACATCGTGCTGCTGTTGGGATCTGGAGAATTTTTTTTTTTTTAGTAAACGGCTTCAATGAAGAAACCTTGCTAGGGTTATTTCCATTCAAAGTTACCAAAAAGAATAATTTCTAAATCCCGAAGGCATCTCCATTCGCACGAAAATATACAAGAAAAGAAACCCTCAAAAAAGAAAAAGGGAATGACTCAGCGAGAGCAACACATACCTCCACCCTTGCACAGTTCAAGTGTCTTCTCATCAACGAAGCTGATATGATGGATTACGTCACTGTCTCCATTTCCCTTGATCTCTTCCCCAAGCAGTGGTCTCACTCGGCAGAAGACACGGATGTTACCCTGTCAGAATAAAACACCCTTGCTATATATATAACAAATCACAGAACAGAAAACACATGTAAGAGTTATCATTACATGCAGCTTGGAAAAGAAAATACTGAAATACCTAGACACACCTCCCTCCAAACATTCTACTAAATCTTATTTAAAAATAGCCCTGATAAATTAAATACATTACTTTTTCAGTGTCAATAATGCAAGTGAGAATATAAACATTTTTATCAACAATGTTTTACCCAGACAAAACCACAACATATATCAAAGCGACAAAATATTGGCCAATTTCTATTTCTATCATACCTTCATCGACATCTACATAGCACAAGACAAAGGTACATTTTCCCCAACACAAACCTTCAATTCAAGGACGGTGTTGTGAAGCTTCCGCCTGATATTTTCTCCTTCACGCAGCTTTTTCTCCATGTCCTCAATGGTGTCTTTCTGCTCGGCAACCTGAGACTCAAGCTCCGATACTCGTTTACTTCGGTCATCAAGCATTATCTTTGTAGACGACAGCTGAGCTTCAATGCCAGCATGTGCACTTGTTAGATGAGAAACAGTTGACTGAAAAGCAAAGAGAAGTTAAAACTTTTTGTACTGATATGTAACTTCTTTTGTGTGTGAAATAAACTTTCCAAGGAATCAAACTGTTATATGTAGTAAAAAAGAAATAAGAAGAAGGAAAGAAAAAGGAACATCATTCTTGTACAATACCTTTAGTCCCGCCAGCTCATCCTGTCTCGCTGAAAGTTCTGACTCCAGCGTTTTGATTTGACGTTCAAGTGTGGCTTTATTGAATTCCAAGTCCTGAATTGTACTTTCATATTTCCTCTTGTCAGCACTTCTCCCATCTTGCTCATTTCTATGAGAAATATACATTATTATTATTATTATAATTTTTTTTTTTTTTAATCTCTAAAAAGCTAGGAAACATTAATTGAATACATAAAACCACCACAATGAAGAAGAATTTGTTATCTAATAGAAAAAAAAGAGGGGCTTGATAACTTGCAGTATAAAACAAACATTTTCCACGAAAGCAAAACAACTGAAACAGAGCCAAGGACTAACCTCAGATTGGAAGCCAGTCGATCAACCTCACCCTGCGTGGCCTGAGATACACTCTGCGTCTTCTCCAGGTTCTGGTTAAGGCTCCTCTTCTCCAGTTCCAGGCTCTCAATGCGCAAGTCATAGTCCATGAACTTCTGCAGTAAGTTCTCGCGTTCTTCTGCTGAGTTCTTCACCAGGGCTTCCATGTCCTGCAGGCGCCCTTTGAGGTCCCATGGCGGTCTTTTGCTTTTTCCTAGGTTAATGGCAACTTTATGTAAGAGCACATAATGAAAGGTCTCATAATATAAAAACAAACAGAACAAAATACTCCATTCATTCATAAAAAACAAACCACTTCATCTAGTCATTAGCCAAACTTAAAATTCTACACTTTGCTCCAAGCAGACAAGCTCAAAAGTGAATGAAAATAAAAGGCCATCTATAACCAAAATGCATGCTGGTGCCTTGCAGAAAACGGCAATTGAGCATTATTAGTTCCATGTTTCGGAGTTGCGAGGAGGTTGAAAGACTTAAAGGGTCTAGAAGTTATCAGTAAGAGCAATGTCTTTTGTACTACCAATGATTATGAAACTGTTATAGTAATCTATGCACATGCTTCCTTTTAATCCATCATTCACAGATTCATGTACTGTCCACTGTATCTATTTGTGAATTTTGTTGTACACAGAATCTTTCTGGAAATCAAGGAAGCAAGGAACAGGAAAGAAAGGCCGAACTAAAGAATTGACTCCTTGTGACTAAGCTCATGTGGAGCCATTCAGTAAATTCTAATTCTACTTACTCAAATGATCTTGAAAACAGGAGAAAAAAACATATAGGAATGATAAAAAAATGAGAATATTATCAAAAATAGAAATAAAGAATGGCAAACTCTTAGAGGCAGCGGCAAAAGCTTCGACAAAAACCAACCTTTGCTACCTGTATCTCCACCTGTCTTATTGCCCCCTACGGGTGGCTTTGATACACTAGTGCCCGTGGACTTTGTTAACGAGGTGCTGCGTGAATTGACCTGATTAGTGATGTTGGTGCCGGGTCTTCTAGCTGGTGCTTCTGCAACATCAATACACACAATTTGCAATTTAATCCAACAACAGAAAAGCATTACAACTTAGAAAAATAAAAAAATAAATAAAATACAAAAATAAATACATCAGTATTATACACATACAATATACTTTGCAGGAAACCTGTCAGAGAATAAATCCAGCAGACAATACAAAAAGTGCCTCACATCAACACATACCCTGATAAAGAACACAAAAATCATATCTGTGCTATACAGATACAGCTGGCATTTAATAACACCGCACAGAACACACAAAATCTACATGCATATTGCAATACCTCATTTTTCTCCCTTCATCACCTACAAAATAAACGGCCCAGGATATGTTTTCATCTGCATATCCGCTCACTTCTAACGGGAATAAAGACGAAAACAAACACATCAGTGCTAAGAACATCAACAATATCAATACTGGAATTAAAGGTTAACAAGTGACTTTTACTAAACAACAGTCTAAATGTGCACAGCAAAATATAAATGTGAGTAAATACACACTAACCATCAATAATAATAACAAAAGCAATAGTAGTAATAACAATAGTAAGAATAGTAGTTACAATAATAATAAAAGTATATCATTATTTATTATTATATAATGATAATGATGGTAATGATAAAGATAAAGATAAAGATAATGGTAATGATGGTAATAATGAAATGAAAAGTAATAGTAACAGTGATAATAATAATATTAAAAAATAATAAACAATAAATAATAACATAAAATATAATTATAAATAAAAAAATAAATATAAATATAATAATATGAATATAATAAAAAATAAAATAAATAAAATAACAACAACAAGAGCAATATAATAATAATGATAATTTGATAATATAATATATTAATATAATGTTATTATAATAAAATAATAGTAATAGTAATAGTAATAATAATAATAATAATAATAATAAATAATATGATTATAACAATATGAATAAGAACAAAACTATCAATAACTTTAAAAAAAAACACTGATAGAACCATCACCTGCAACAGCAAAGCCAATAACAATAGTAATTCTATTACAATAAACCATTAAAAAAATAATAATAAAATAAAATAAATGATCATGAACCGATAAATGCAGCAGCAACAACAATAGTAATAATGTTAACAATAACAATAATAATGTTGCAGCTGCTCCTGTTATGAATTATTACAATCTAGTAATCATTATCCTTTCCACCATCTCATCATAATTTTCATTACTATTATTATTACTATTATGATTGTTGTTATCATCTAAAATCATCATCATCATCATTATTGTCATAATCATTGTTACTATTATAACTACTGTTGTTATCATGATCATTATTGTTACTATCAATACAATTGATATTATCATTATCATCATTATCATCATCATGATAACTATTGCTATTATTTATGTTATCCTTATCATTACTATTTTCTTTCCAATTTATTATTGTCATCAAGATTATTAGTAGTAGTTGTATTAAGTGTTATTTTTTCGATTACCATTTTACATAATAATGATAACCATGACAACAATAATATTAATATAAATACAACAAATCAATAAAAATAATGGTAATGTCAATAAACAATAAAAACAATAACGACAGTAGCAGTCCGAACCACGCCTAACGACCGCACTGACCCTTCGGCCCCAACCCCCCCCAACCAGCACCAGCTTCCAAGAAGAGCACTCCCCCTCCTCCGCGAGACGAAGGCGGCGCGTGCGAAGGCGACACAGACCCTTCCCCTCCCGTCCCGTCCCGTCCCGTCCACCGCCTCCTTCGCCGCCCGCCGCCCAACCTTCGCCTCAGTCGCCGCCCTTGTTACCTTGCGCCCTCAGGAGAGCTTCGACGATGAGCTTCCCGCTGTCCGGCTTCCGCAGGTCGATGAGGGTGCCGCCGATGCAGAGGCACTGTCGGCTGCGGTGGAAGTGGCCGTTGGGCGAGGGGCCGGTCGGGGCCGCCGCCGCGCTGCCGGCACCTTCACCAGCCGGCTGAAGGAACACCCGGCCCCATGCTTTCCTTTTTCGGAGGGGGCGAGGAGCGCCGACGCCCCCTCTGACCTCGCCCTCCAAGCTCCTTCCTGGCCGGGAATGCGGGAGACTTGGCCTTTGGAGGAGGGGAGGGAAGC